ACCTTGTTGGCGTTTTGTGGTCTCTTGTGTTCTTCACCTGGCATTCACACAGAGGGTGGTCTTTCTGGTTCTGAGATCCCACCTCTCTTCCAGCCTCCTGCTTGCTAGGGAGAAGTGCAAAGCCCATTCTCATCCCTTTCCCCCTCCTTTCTGGAAGTTTTTAAGACTTTGTTTTCCCTCCATGGGCTTTTGTGTTTTTACTGGAATGGATGTACGTGAAACACCAATTTCCTGTCTATTGGGCATGCTGTAGGCCCTTTCAGTCTGAAATCTGGAATTTTTTTTCGCTATAGAGAAATTATGCTGCCTTTCTTATTGGACTCAGTATGGACAAAAGGTGTTGCTAGTGGCCTTTAACTCTACCAGGCCAGATACCCACACTTTGAGGCCAAACACTAAACTCTCATATGGTTGCTGTTTTCTTTTTGGCACCAAAAATTGGACCGGGGGTGCTTCACCACAGAGCCACATCCCCAGCCATCTTTTATTTTTTATTTAGAGACATGGTCTCCCTAAGTTGCTTAGGGCCTTGCTAAGTTGCTGAGGTTGGTCCCCAACTTACAATCCTCCTGCCTCAATATCCTGAGTTGCTGGGATTACAGGTGTGTGCCACCACACCTGATTTATATTCTCTTTTAATTTCTTCTCCAACTCTTATGTATTTGACTTGATGCAACTGAATATCAGTTTCCTTCTCTCAACTCTTTTTTTAATATTATGTTTTAATTAAAAAAAAAAACAAAACACAAACTTATCCCAGTGGCTTGGGAGGCTGAGGCAGTAGGATCACAAGTTCAAAGCCAGCCTCAGCAATGGAGAGGCACTAAGCAACTCAGAGAGACCCTGTCTCTAAATAAAATACAAAATAGGGCTTTGGATGTGGCTCAGTGGTCAAGTGCCCCTGAATTCAATCCCCGGTACTGAAAAAATAACAACAACAACAACAACAAAAAAAAAAAAAAAAAAAAACCACAAACTTGAGAGGATATTACTTTCAAGGTAGAATACTTTATAAGACACTACCACATGGCCCTTCCATTTTATTTTTCCAACATGGCCCTTCCATTTTATTTTCCCACCAGCAATGGATAGGAGTACTAGGTGTTTTACATTGTTGCCAGCACTAAGTATTACTAATGTTGTTAATCTTTCTTTTGAGTAGGTATATTGAGGGATCTCATTGTGATTTTAATTTGCATTTATTAAATAATGAATGTTGTTGAGGATCTTTTCATGTTCTTATTTGACATCTGTATATCTTCTTCAGTAAAGTGTTTGTTGTAATGTTTGCCATTTTTCTTTGATCTTATGTTGTAACTGTTCTTTTTATATATTCTGGATGCAAGTTCTTTATCAGCTATGTATGGTCCTAGTTTCTACTTGCAGGCTGGGACTTGTTTCATTCTTTTTAAATTTGTACCTTTTAGTTATACTTGTTTTATTCTTCATAGTATCTTTTGAAGAATAGATGTTTTTAAAATTGATTAAGTCCAAGTTCTTCTTTTATATTTCGTGCTTTTTGTATCCTATCTAACAAATCTACAATCCAAGGTACCAAAGATTTCTCATGTTTTCTTTTAGATGATTTATAATTTTATCCCTTACATATAGGCCTATAAGTTTTAAAATCTGGTGTGAGGTATCAGGGTTGTTTTTTTTTTTACATACACGTATCCAATTTTTCCAGTTGTTTCAGGAGCATTGTGTGTATGTGCACATGCATGTGTGTGTGAGGGTGTGTGTATGTTACTGGGTGTGGAATCCAGGGTCTCACACATGCTAGGCAAGCATTCTACCACTGAGCTGTATATTTCCAGCTCTCCAGTGGCAGGGTCATTTCTTTGTTTCATTTTGTATTTTTTTTTATGGTACTGGGGACTAAACCCAGGAGTGTTTTACCATTAAGCTACCTCCCAAGCCTTTTACCTGTTTATTTTAAGATAGGGTCTCAGCCAGGCTTGGTGGTGCATGCCTATGATCCCAGTGACTTGGGAGGCTGAGGCAGGAGGCTTATAAGTTCAAGGCCAACCTCAGCAACTTAGTAAGACTCTCAGCAACTTAGTGAGATCCTGCCTCAAAGTAAAAAAAAAAAAATTACAAAATGGGGCTGGGGATGTGACTCAGTAGCAGAGTGCCCCTGGGTTCAATCCCTGGTTCCAAAAAAAGAAAGGCAAAGTAGGTCTCTTGCTAAGTTGTCTAGCTAACCTCCTACCTCTTAACCAAGCCTCCTATTAACTGGCATGACAGGCATGTGCCACTGCACCCAATTCCAGCAGCATTTTTTTAAAGAGAGAGAAAGAGAGAGAGAGAGAGAGAGAGAGAGAGAGAGAGAGAGAGAGAGAGAGAGAGAGAGAGAATTTTTCTTTAATATTTACTTTTTAGTTTTCGGCGAACAAAACATCTTTGTTTGTATGTGGTGCTGAGGATCGAACCTGGGCAGCAGGCATGCCACGCAAGCGCGCTACTGCTTGAGCCACATCCCCAGCCCCCAGCATTTTTTTTATAAAGTCTATTTTTTTTCTCCATTAAGCTACCTTTGCACTATTGTTGAAAACAGTTGAACACACATGCATCAGTGTATATACAAATGCTTTTAATTATGATAACCTTATAAAGTGTTCAAATCAGGTAGTATGAATCTTCCAATTTTTTCTTCCCTTTTAAAAATGTTTTGGCTGTCCCGGGTCCTTGGCATTTTCATATAAATTTTGAGTCAGCTTGTGAATTTCTATATAAAAGCCCACAGGGATTTTGTTTGGAATTATATTGCCTCTGTGGCTCATCAATAGATTGGTAATATTAAATCTTTGAAGTCATGAACATGTATGTCTATTTATTTAGGTCTTTTCAAATTTATCTCGGTAATGCTTTGTAGGTTTGAATGCACAGGTCTGGCACATGTTATTTAATTCATCCCTAAGTGTTTTGTATTATAATAAGGCATTATAAATGGTACTTTTTTGGATTTTAATTTCCCATTGGTTAATGCTGTTTTATAGAAATGTAATTGACAAAAATATATTGACCCTGTATCATGGGACATTCCTAAGCACAGTCATTGTATAATACTTGTAGCTTTTTTGTAGATCATTTGGCATTCTCTATGTAAATAATCATGTAGTTGTAAACAAAGACAATTTTCTTTCTTTTCAATCTAAATGTCTTTTACTTCCTTTTTTTTGCTTTTTATAGTGCTAGGATCTTCAGTACAATGTTGAATAGGAATAAATATAATGACATCTTAGCCATATTCCTGATCTTAGAGCAAAACCATTTACTTTCTCACTATTAAGTATAATTTTTCTGAGTTTTTATCATGAACAGATGTTGAAGGTTGCAGATGCTTTTTCTACATCAGTCAGAATGATCATGCTTGAAAATATAGTGGATTACATTTATTTGCAAATATTGAACCAGGCTTTCATCCCCAATAAAAATTCTGCTTGATCATGACCTATTATCCCTCTTATATATTGTTAGTTCTTTCACTCATTTTCTGTTGAATATTATTGCTTCTATGTTTATGTGTCATAATCATCTGTTGTTTTCATCAGTCTCATGGTTTGTGTATGATTTTAACCTAGGCATCTGCTGATTATCTTTTTCCTTTGAAAATTGATCACATTTTGCCAGTTATTTGTCATGTTAAATAATTTTGGATTCCATTCTGCATAGTGGTAATGATGTTATTGCTTTTAATCTTTGTTTATCAGTTAATAAATGGGTTGGGTTGAGCCCACTAGTTCTGTGTTGCCTTCTCTGGGTGTTGGTTCTAATAAGTTCAGTTTTCTATGCTCCTTTGGTTCTGACTTGTACAGATTCCACTCAGGGATTAGTTTGAGACTTGAGTGGTGACTGTGTCTATGAGGTTTTTGAACCCTTTTCTGTACTGCTTTAGGTTTGTCTCATACATTTTTCACTCAGATGTTAGTCTCAGACTTGAGCTGTGGTTTAAATATTAGTTCAGTTTTCAAAATTCAGTATGCACTTCTGCTTTCTCTTGTACACACAGCCCCTGCATGAGTTTATCACTTAGAAGTGTTCATATTCCACTGGTACATTTGGACCAAAGTCTTGAGAGAAAAGAAAAAGGATAAAAGGGGATCCCACTGGTATACTGGGTGGCATGTTTACTTTATTTATTTATTTGGTACCAGGAATTAAACCCAGGGGCACTTAAGTACTGAGCCACACCACCAGTCCATTTGTTTTTTTTTATAAGTATAAACTCTTTATTACTAGTTAGGATCAGAAAACCCCCCAAAATGGTTGATCTTGGTGAGCTGTGCTGGATCTCCAGGGGAACTCTGGGAAACCTGTTCAGAATGGCACCTCCCACTTCCTGGGCTCTACCTTGGCTCCTCCTTGGTTTGCAGCTGTCTTGGTGAAGCAAAAAATCTGCAGATAACATACTCAGTGGAAGGCAAGGGGCCCAGGGGCATTCTGGAGATTTCTTGCCTCCTCCAGTTCTATTTATAGCCCAATTAGTCCTTCCAAGAGAAGCACCATACATACATAGTACAGCAGCCCTGAAGTCTGTCTTTGGAATGCATTTTGTTCTTCATCCACTGTTCATTGGAAAGGAACCAGGGATGGGGACAGCTGGGGGCTGAGGACTAGAGTATGTAGAAAATACCTCCCCCAACCCTGTCTTTTTACAAGACAGCCCGGTGATCTTTCAGGCAGGCTGCAGGGCAGCCAGGAAAAATAGATGTGTCTCAAGAAAGGGAATCAGCAAAGCCCTGACTGTCCTTTTGCCAGGATACTTTCCTGACTTTTTGCCACTGCTCATTCATCTTCTTTGGGATTAATGTGACAAGCAATTGGTCACTCAAGCCCTTTCATGAAAGCGTCTTTGATATTGCCCCCCAGAACCACAAAAGTGGAACTTTTTTTTAAAATCCAAAATTGGATCTTGATGCTATTTCTTTCTTTTTTAATCTTTATTTTGTTTATTTATTTTTATATGGTGTTGAGGATCCAACCCAGGGTCTCCCACGTGCTAGGCAAGCGCTCTACTGCTGAGCCACAATCTCAGGCATTGATGTTATTTCAACTGAGTTTATCCAAAGGTCACATTTCATGCAAGACAAAGGAGACACCCCACTCCACATATCTCAAGTTAGGCTCTCTCTTGTCATTTAACCAATCTCACCCAACAGATTATAATGTGTACACTAGATATTAACAGAGTTATAGTTTCTAACACATACTAGGCCATCAATAACTTTTTGTTTATTAAACCAATGAATGAAATTAAACAAATTTGCTACAATCTCTAAGATTACTTCTTCTCTCAACCCTTCTGTACTTTGCAATGTCAATCCCTTTTCTCCAACAGAAGGATTGAGTTCTAACAAAATTGGTCTGCTCTGTCTTGTTCCAAAATGTGTGCTAGAATGTCTCCTTCTCCCTGATGCCTTCGTTCTCTTTTTAGCTCCAGCCAGTTGAGGTCTTAGGTGAAGCAGCTGCTGACAGCCAGAAGTGTATATCATGAGGAGTCACACACTGGGACCCCAAGCTTCTTCAGTTTCACCCAAATTTCCTGGAGCTGTTGGAGATGCCATCTGGGCCTCAGACTCCACATCCTGCGTACCCTGCGACCCTGTGGCAAGCACCTTTCTCTGTCCCCCTGCATCCACAGGCCATGCCCCAATCCTGTGCTGCTCATATGGCTATTCAGGAGCGACTTCCTGGTACAGCTGGAACTGGATCAGCCTCTCACGCAGGGCGTCACGCTCCCCCAGCGCTTGCTTCAGGTCATCTCTGGCGCTATGCAACTGAGAAACCACGTCGTCCCTCTCCTCACGCAGCCGCTGCAGTTCGGAGGCCAGAGCCCAGGCGGCTCCTTCGCACTCCTCCACCTGCCCCCTCAGCCGCCCGACCTGACGCACCTGCTGCTCCCGCTGCCTCGCGGCCACTCGCACCCCGAGGGCCCTGGAGCTCCAGGCACCCGCCGTGTTAATGGCGCGCGGCGCCTGAGGGTCTGCCATGAAGGACTGCAGGTTGTCTTCCACCTTGTTCCAGGGCCGTGAAGGGAAGGTCAGGTAGAGGTCTGGGCAGCCACCATTACTGAGCACCTCTTCGTTGATAAACGCCACCACTTCGCTGTGGCGGACACCGCTTCTGGAATTTCCGGAAGTCGAAGGCCGTGGCCGCCGCGGCCTAGTCAGCAGAGCTGCCCCCCTCTACTGTAGCCTTGGGCAACCAACTGGGGCGCCCCTCAGTTCCTGTCTCTGTGGTGTTTCAGTCCTTTCCCAGCCCTATAGCCTCTTCCTTCGCCTCCTACCTCCACTTTTCTGTTCACAAAGCCCCAAACCTTAAAACCAGTTCTCTCTCACATCAACCCCTTAGGCTTCTAAAGCGGCAACCCCATTTTTTTTAGTATTTAGTTTTTAGTTGTAGTTGGACACGACACCTTCATTTTATTTATTTATTTTTATGTGGTGCTGAGGATCGAACCCAGGGCCCCACATGTGTTAGGCAAGCACTCTACCACTGAGCCACAACCCCAGCCCCCCAGCCCATTTTTTGAAATGATTTTATTATTTTTTTTAATACACGACAGTGGAATGCCTTACAATCCGTATTACACGTCAATTTATGTCATTATACATGTACTTTGTTTTTTTTCGCATTACAATTCTTATTACACATATATACCACAATTTTTCATATCTCTGTATATAAATTATGTTTACACCCAATTCGAGTCTTCATACATGTTCTTTGGATAATGATGTCCATCACATTCCACCATCCTTGCTAATCCCCTGCCTCCTCCCTTTCCCTCCCACCCCTCTTCCCTATCTAGAATTAATCTAATCCCCTCATGCTCTCCCTCCCTACCCCACTATGAGTCACTCCCCTTATATCAGAAAACATTCAGCATTTGTTTTTTGGGGGGATTCGCTGACTTCACTTAGCATTATCTTCTCCAACGCCATCCATTTACCTGCAAATCCTCCAGCCCATTTTTATTTTTTATTTAGAGATAGGGTCTTTTTTTATATTTATTTTTTAGCTTTAGGTGGACACAATATCTTTATTTTTATGTGATGCGGAGGATCACACCCAGTGCTTCACGCATGTCAGGCAAGCACACTACCACTTGAGCCACATCCCCAGCCCTTTTTCATACTTTATTTAGAGACAGGAACTTGCCAAGTTGCTTAGGGCCTTGCTAAGTTGCTGAGGCTGGCTTTGAACTCACGATCCTCCTGCCTCAGCCTCCTGAGCCACTGGGGTTACAGGCGTGGGCCACTTCACCCAGTTGGCATCCCTACTTTTTGATTCCCTTTCATAGTCTAATTCTGTTTACTTGTCAGAGGCCTCAGGTAGTTGCTTTATGTATTTTGTCTGGAATTTTTGGGTGCAGTAATCAGTAGGAGAGGCCATAATACTCTCCCTTACTCTTTTGTGGCTAGAAATGGGACCCTCAGTTTCATTCATTCTCGACTTTATTGATCTCAACCTTTATTGATTCTTTTTTTCTGCTAGTTTGAATTTAATTTGCTCTTAGTTTCAGAAGGTAGAAGCTTAATTCATTGATTTGAAATCTCTCTTTTCTAAGGATGGGAGAGGAGGGGAGGAGTAGGGAGGATAGGAAGGGCAGCAGAATAGAATAGACAATATGATTGATGTATGTACATTCCATGTATGTATTATATGTCAAAATACATTCTGCTGTCATGTATGACTAAAAAAAATAAAAATTAAAAAAAAAAATTTAAAAATAAATAAATAAATGACAGCGGAATGCATTACAATTCTTATTACACATACACAGCACAATTTTTTATATCTCTGGTTGTATATAAAGTATGTTAACACCAATTCGTATCTTCATACATGTACTTTGGATAATGATGTCCATCATATTCCACTATCATTGCTAATCTCCTGCCCCTCCCTTTCCTTCCCAGCCCTCTTCCCTATCTAGAATTCATCTGTTTGGCATATTGATACAGACAACTGGTTTGTTCCTTTCATTTGCTATATTCTATTGTATGAATGTGCTCCATTTATCTGTTCTGTTGATTGACATTTGAGCTATTTACACCTTTTTGTCATCACAAACAATGGTGTTGAGCTTTTTTGTACAGTCCTTGGTGTGTTTATGTAAGAGTTTCGCCTATATACCTGGGTTTAGAATTGTTGATGTAGCAGTTGTTTTCATTTTAATGTTTACTATGTAATGAGTATAGTAGTTCTTTCACTTACATCCCTATCAGTACAGTATTAGATTTCCTGCTATTTTATATCTCTGCCAAAGCACACTATCATCAGGTTTTAAATTTTTGCTAGTTTAGTGGGTATAAAGTAATAAACAGTGAAATTTTCTTATCTTTGGAAAAAAAGAGAAATCTCTCTTTTCTAATATAGCATTGTCAGTGTCGTTACTACCTTAGTACTGATTTAGCCGTTTCAAACCAGTTATTTCGGGTGAATTGGCATACAAGAGATTACACATTTTTAAAGTGAATATTTTGATAACTTTTGAATTTTATATCTACAATTTCATTACCACAATAAAGATAATGAAATCATACAAGGAGTTGGGAAGTATTCCCACCTCCCTTCAATTCTTTGAAAGAATTTGTGTAATATTGGCATTAATTCTTCTTTAAGTGTTTGATGGATTCTCAAGTGAATTCTTCTGGGCTTGGAGTTTTCTCTGTGGGAAGGTCTTTAACTAAAATTTCAATTCATTTAATAGATGTTGGGTTATTCAAATGATTTATTTCTCCAGATGAGCTTCAGTAATTTTGTCTTTCAAGGAATCTGTTTTATCTAAGCTGTCAAATTTATTGGCATAAAGTTGTTCATAATGTTCTCTTATTCTGTTTTCAATTTCTGAGCATCAGTGGTTGTCTCATTTTAGCTAAGAAAATGAAAGCTATATTTGAGAAGACAGATATGTTTAAACTGATATAAACATTATACAATGTGTGCATGTATTGAAACATCATATGGTATCACATTAATATGTAGTATTTTTATGTTTTTAAGTATCAGTTAAAAATTTTAAAATGAAAACTAGGTAATCATTAAAACTATGGACTTCATTTAAATGGAACTTTTCTCTCCCCACACCTTAGTTCTGCCTTTTACTGGCAACATGGGCACACTCAGTTTTGTCTTTTCTTTTTTGGCACCAGTGATTGAATGACGAGTGTTTAACCACTGAGCCACATTCCCAGCCCTTTTATTTTTTATTTTTAGACAGGGTCTCCTAAGTTGCTTAGGACCTCACTAAGTTGCTGAGGCTGGCTTTGAACTTGTGATCCTCCTGCCTCAGCCTCCTGAGTCACTGGGATTACAGGTGTGCACCCCACACCTGACTAGTCTTTTCTTTCTTTATTCTTCCCACTCCCCTATTCAACTACTAGACCATCTCTGGCTCTTTGAGTGAAGCAGGGTAAGAAAGAAGGGAGACTATAAAGAGTAAAATAAAGTTTGAACTATCCATATAAATATAATCTGATACTGGTACTTTCTGCATGTGGCAGATTCCAAAGACTGAATCTTCCTGTCCTTGGCACTTTTATGCTGTCCTTGGAATGTCCAGTGTTCCTCCATTAGGCAGGTCCTTTTCTCCAACCAGTTATTTAATATATTCCCTGGTTCCATGAGTGACCTTCAATGTCATTCTACTGAAGTCACCTCAATCCTACCAGAAAGCCCTCTTTCCAATGTAACCCAGACCTGTTCATATCCAGGGTGCATATCTGGCTTGTAGAATGAGTGTGTGTGTGTGTATGTGTGTGTGTGTGTGTTCTGTGGTGGTAGTGAGACCTGCAGTTCACCTCCATACAACCTTGTTGCTGCCATATGATGCCACAATCTGTCAACTGTACAATTTTTGTAGGTGGAAGTTAAGTGCCAAGTGCCCTGTGTCCCCCAAATGCTAATGGACGTATATCAAGCAAGTAATCTCCCTGAAGTCCTTCTTACTAGACTAGGGTAGGATGAACATACATTTATCTCGCTTATTTTGGGAGAGAAAAATATCACAGCTTTGCAATGATTGTTCAAAGAAATTTTTTCCTTAGATTATTCAACCTTACTTAATACACATACTTTTCTTTTTTTGTACCATGTATTGAACCCAGGGGGTGCTTAACCACTGAGCCACATCCCCATCCCTTTTTACATTTTATTTGGAGACAGGGGCTCACTAAGATGCTTAGGGCCTCGCTACATTGCTGAGGCTGATTTGGACTTGTGATCCTCCTGCCTCAGCCTCCTGAGCTGCTGGGATTATGAGCATGTACCACCATGCCTGGTTTAACACTCATACTTTTAAGGGGTATATTTCAGCTGAAGGACATTAAGCAGTTTTTATCTACTCCTTTTAAGTCCTGCAAAAGGCCTCTGGACTGGGAAAGTACTTAGTATTTATTGCCAGCCTTTGAAGCAAAAAGAGTAGATTTTACCATCATATGAAATCAACTCCCTTAAAGCATGGGTTGTAGCCTGGTGGGCAGATGTAGCTTCCTGAAAAATCTAAAACTTCAGCTTTTGAATAGGAAGCATCAATGTTAAAATGCAAAGCTCTGTAGCCTTAGGTGGCAAAACAAATGGCACAGAAAGTATGTGATTTAGGCCAGGGCTGCATGATAGAACTAGAACTTACTGCAAGAAACAGGAGAGAATTGTAGATGCTTTAAATTTTGGTCCTTTAGTTAGTATAAATTGGTATCTTCTTATAATTTTCATTTCCCTGATTACTAGGAAATCTAACATTTCATGTGTTATTAACTAGTTAGATTTCCTCTTCTAAGGCCTGCCTGTTTATATCCTTTATCTATGTTTTTGTTGGGCTGTTTATCTTTTCTTTTTGCTTTGTATGTATTCTTTGTATATTGTAGACTTCAATTTTGTGTATAGTAAATAGCCTTTTTAAAAAAATATTTTTAGTTGTAGATGGACACAATACCTTTATTTTGCTTATTTAGTTTTATGTGGTGCTGGGGATGGAACCCAGGGCCTCACACATGCTAGGCAAGTGCTCTACCACTGAGCTACAACCCCAGCCCCTCAACAGCCTTTTCTTAGTCTAGGCTGTTTATGGAGTTGTTTTGAAAATAAGTTTTAATTGCAATGTAATCAAATTTATCAAAGTTTTAGTTTGCTTTTTGTATAACCTTAAGTAAGGTTGTACTTTTTAGTTGAATACACACACACACACACACACACACACAGACACACACACATATTTACTCTGATGTTACTATTTTCATATTTTATTGTATTATTTATATAGCCAGCTTTTTCATGACCCTTTTTCTTGCCTTAGATGGATTTTCTTTACCCTCTGCCTCTTACCCCTTGAGTCATTATCCTTCTGAATGATTCAAGTACTAAGCATTATCTTTAGCCAGGCTTTATTTATGATAAATTATCTGCTTTATTGTCCAAAAATGTCTTGGTTTTGTTATCTTTCTTTACAATAATTTATCTGGGTACAGAGTTCTAAGATGACAGCTTCTGTCAGAACTTTGAAAATAGTATTCATTAAACTTCTGGCTTCTTTTTATTTTTCCTCAAAAAGACTGACAATAATGGGCTGGGGCTGGAGCTCAGTGGTAGAGCACTCACCTAGCATGTGTGAGGCACTGAGTTCAATCCTCAGCACCACATAAAATAAATAAGTAAAATAAAAGTTATTGTGTCCATCTACAACTAAAAATATATATTTTTAAATATCTGACATTGATATAATTGTTTATAAGGGATTTAAATTTTTCTCCATGGACGCTTTTAAATTTTTCTTTCTGATTTTTAAGTCTTGTGGTTGCACTCAACTTTGTGTGAGTGAGGATTTACTTTTATTTGCCACACTGAGGACTGTGGGTGTAAGATTCATGCCTTCCTTTCACTCTAGAAAACTATGTCATTGTCTCTTCAAATATATCCTGGGTCAGCGATCCCCAAGACTACTCCCATATTCTGAGATTTTCTAGAAAGAATTATGGGACACAGCATATAGTTGTATTCACAGATAAGTTTATTGTAGTGATGCCAAGAATATACAACCACATTATATGGGGAACAGCACAGGCAGAGTCTGGAAGAATCCGTTTGCAGGCTCCCTTATACTGTCACCCTCCCATGAGGGGGCTTACAGAGCACTCTTCACCCAGCATCAAAAATGCAGCAACATAGGTGTGATGTTTATTATGCTCAGGAGAAACCATTAGAGACTCAGAAACTTTGGTTTTTATTGGAGGCTGGTCATACAGACAAACTGCTTAGCATATACCAAAATTCCAGACTCCCAAAAGGAAAACAGGTATTCAGCATAAAACACAGTGTTTGTATAAACAGTGGAGGCATAGAAAACCACGCTTACCAGTCAGGAAATTATGAGAACATTCCTGAAATCCAAATTCCCAGATGTCAGCCCAGGGCTAACTTGCAGGCTGGCCTTTGTAAAGAGAACAGTATCAGGGCTGCTGTATTAATCTTTTTCTTGGCCTACAGCCCAACTCCCTTTTCCTTTTCCTTTCCACTTGGATCTCTTAATGAGCTTATGTTGGAGCTTCTAATTATTTCTACTTCCCTTATGTTTCCATTTCATTAAGCTTTTATGCTATATCCTGGGTGGTTTCCCACAATCCGTCATTTAACTTATTCAATTTATCTTTATAGTGTACTGTTCAACCTCTCTATTTAGAGTTTTAAAAAAAATTATATTCATATTTGTATCCTAACTTGTATCCAAGTTTTCCCCCATAGTCTAGTTCTTAACTCTTTGTATATTTAGAATATTTTAATTTATTTTTTATCTATTTTGGGGGGCTGCTGGGGATTGAAGCCAGGGGAGCTTTATCACTGAGTTGCAATCCTATTTTTGTTTTGTTTTGTTTGTTTGTTTGTTTGTTTTGGAGACATGGTCTTGCTAAGTTGGGTGAGGTTGGCCTCAAATTTGCAATCCTCCCGGTTCAGCATCCTAGGTTGCTGGGATTATAGGTATGCATTACCACACCTGATGATATTTGGAATATATTTACTTTAAAATCTAGATTGTTACATTATATACAGTTCTAGAAATGGGAGAATCTTTTAATGTATCTGTTGATTCTCTTTATTGATGATTCATTTCCTTGTAAGGTCTAAATTATTTTTACATGTTTGATTTGGTTTTCCATAGATGTTCTGTGAGCCTTAAGCTATAAAAACATGGGAAATATTTTTTGGAAAGTTTTCCATTGCTGTGAATCTACTAATAACAAGACCAATTTTATGTTAATTTTTCATTATGGGCTCTTGTACTACACTCGTAATCATGCAGATTGAATCACAGAACTAGGCTTCTGATTTCTTTTATCTAACACCATTCTTAACAATTTCTTTGGCCAGCAAGGAGTGTTTCTAGTTTGTATTTAATAAACATGCAGGCCCCTTGTTATGCCAGCTTGAAGCAAAAAATAGGTTCTCCTTTCTTGAACACTTGTGCCCTGAGGTCTGGATTCCTATGCAAGGCTCCAAGCTTCACTTTTACTTTACCCCATCATTGTACATTCTCACTTCAATTTTTTATGGGTGGTAAGGATAGTACCCAGGACCTTCTGTATGCTAGCCAAGTGCTCTACCATTGAGCTAAATTCCCATCACTCCCACCACTTCATTTTTGACACATAATACATTTCTTGGCTTTGTGCTTGGCTGCATATTACATTATTTTTTAGAATTCATGGTAGCATTCTTTACATTTGCAATTGGAAACATGGGGTGGTGGACATGGGGAGGATCCATCCTTATGATCATAATATTGATAAGAATTTACCACAGGGCATTTAGAGATCCATGTTATCCCATATATTGTAGTAAAATTTTAATGATTCATCTCATTTTTCTCCTAGAATTCTGGGAAGTTGATGAGCAGATAGATAACTAAAAGGAAAGTCAATACAGACCTCTGTGGCAAGCTGCATTCATAGACCAGAAAACACTGAAAGATGAAAATGTTCAAGAATGCAGAACATACAGAAAAATCATTTATCTGAGCAAATTCTTTGTTTCTATAAGACAAAGACACCCTAAATATTCATGGAGAAGATATTTAAAACGTAATATAGGGCTGGATCCCCAGCCCTATATATAGCTCAGTTCATAGAGTGCTTGCCTCACATGCACAAGGTTCAATCCCCAGTACCACCAAAAAAAAATAATATAAATGGTCTTAGTCAAATGTTCTCTCTGATGCTAACACACAAAAAGGAGGGAGGGGAAGAGTAGAAGTTCATTGGATTAGACAAAGGGGAACGAAAGGAAGGGAGGGAAATGGGAATAAGAGAGACAGTGAAATGAATCTGACATAGCTTTCCTATGTTCATATATAAATACACCACCATTGTAATTCCACATCATGTACAACCACAAGACTGGGATCCTTATTAGAATAAGATATACTCCAATTGTGTATAATATGTTCAAATATACTCTACTGTCATGCATATCTAAAAAGAATAAATAAAAATAAATTTAAAAATAGAAGCTTTGTAAGAAAGATAGATTATAGATGTAAGGTAAATTGGAAATTATGTCTCCCTTCTTATCTTGATAAATCCTAACCTGCAGAGAAATCTGTTGAACCCAATCAACAAGGAAAAGCCCCCCCACCAGAAGCAATAAAATAAAAGTCAGAGAATTCAAACTGGGGAGAAATTCTATGAATGTACTGAATATAGTAGAGTGTTTATCCAGAAAAACCAACCTTGTTTTCCATCAAAGAATTCACACTGGAGGGGTTGGGATTGCGGCTCAGTGGCAGAGCGCTTGCCTTGCACCTGTGAGGCACCGGGTTTGATCCTCAGCACCATATAAAAATAAATAAATAAAATAAAGACATTGTGTCCATGTATAACTAAGAAAATTTTTTTAAAAAAGAATTCACACTGGAGAGAAACTTTATGAATGCTTTGAATTTGCAAAAGCCTTCAGTCAGAAGATAGCCCTCACAGCACACCCGAGAACTCATTCAGGAGAGAAATCCTATGAATGCAGTGGATGTGGGAAAGCCTTTATCCAGAAGGCAACTTTTATTAAACATGAGCAAACTCACATGGGAAAGAGACCATTTGTATATGGTGAATGTGCAGAAGCCTTTAAGAGTTCTTATCATCTTATTAGACACGAAAAAACACATATTAGACAAGCATTTTATAAAAGAATCAAGCATGCTAAGTCCAGCATTATACATCAAATGTCTCACACAGATGAGAAACCTAAGTGCAGTAAGTATAGGAAAACCTTTGATGAGAAACCCATCACCATTAAACATCAGAAAACTAACAGAAAAGAGAACCTTGTGAGTGCAGTAGATGTGGAAAAACTTCAAGAGAAAGTCACACCTCTCTGTTCATCAGAAAATTCACACAAAAGAAAAACCCTATCAATGCAGCACATGTGGGAAGACTGTTAGTGTAAAATCACATCTGTTTGGCCATCATTGAAATCATACAGGAGGGAAACCCTACAAATGAAGAAGATGTGGGAAAGCTTTCAGTGAGAGGCAACCCTATTGTCCATCAGAGAATTCATACAGGAGAGAAACCCTATAAATGCAATGAATGTGGGAATATTCTGTGAGAAGTCACCACTGATTAAACAACGGAGAATTCATATGGGAGAGAGACCCTATGAATGCAGTGACTGTGGGAAAGACATCAGTAGGAAGTTGACTGTCATTAAATGTCAGGGGATTTATACAGGAGGAAAACCCTACAAATGTAGGGAATGTGGGAAAGCCTTCCATGTGAAATCAGTTCTCCTTACATATCACAGAACTCACATGGGAGAAAAACCTTTTGAATGCAGAGACTGTGGGAAAGCCTTCAGTGGGAAGTCAACCCTGAATAAACATCAGGTAAGTCATACAGGAGAGAGAATGTACAAATGTTCTTGAAAAGTTAGATAATTTCACTAGTAATTGTACCTCATGCTGTACATCAAATAATTCATCCTGGGGAGTCATTAAGAATGAATGTCAGGGGGCTGGGGTTGTAGCTCAGTGGCAGAGCACTTGCCTAGCACATGTGAGGCACAGGGTTCAATCCTCAGCACCACATTAAATAAATGAATAAAATAAAGGCATTGTGTCCATCTACAACTAAAAAAAATTTAAAAGCTAACTACATTAAAAAAAGAATGAGGGCTGGGCATATAGCTCAGTTGGTGAAGTGCCTGCCTCACATGCACAAAGCCCTGGGTTCAATCCCCAGGACTACAAAAAAAATAAAAATTAAAATTAAAAAAAAGAATGTCAGAAACACCTCATTTTTATTTTTTATTATTTTTTTTAAAAAATAAATGACAGCAGAATGTATTACAATTGTTATTACATGTATACAGCACAATTTTTTCATATCTCTGGTTGTATATAAAGTATGTTGACACTAATTCATGTCTTCATACATGTACTTTGGATGATGATGTCTATCACGTTCCACCATCCTTGCTAATCCTCTGCCCCCTCCCTTTCCCTCCCACCCCTCTGCCCTATCTAGAATTCATCTATTCCTCCCAAGCTCCCTCTCCCTACCCCACTATGAGTCAGCCTTCTTATATCAGAGAAAATATTCGGCATTTGTTTTCTTGGGATTGGCTAACTTCACTTAGCATTATCTTCTCCAATGCCATCCATTTACCTGCAAGTGCCATGATTTTATTCTCTTTTATTGCTGAGTAAAATTCCATTGTGTATATATGCACATTTTTAATCCATTCATCCATTGAAAGGCATCTAGGTTGGCTCCACAGTTTAGCTATTGTGAATTGTGCTGCTATAAACATTGATGTGGCTGTGTCCCTGAAGTATGCTGTTTTTAAGTCTTTTGGGTATAAAACGAGGAGAGGGATAGTTGGGTCAAATGGTGGTTCCATTCCCAGTTTTCCAAGGAATCTCCATACTGCTTTCCATATTGGCTGCACCAATTTGGAGTCCCACCAGCAATGTATGAGTGTACCTTTCTCCCCACATCCTTGCCAACACTTATTGTTGTTTGTCTTCATAATAGCTGTCATTCTGACTGGAATGAGATGATATCTTAGAGTGGTTTTGATTTGCATTTCTCTAATTGCTAGTGATGATGAACATTTTTTCATATATTTGTTGATTGATTGTGTATCCTCTTCTGAGAAGTGTCTTTTCAGGTCCTTGGCCCAATTGTTGATTGAGTTTTTTTTTTTTTTTTTTTTGGTGCTTAGATTTTTGAGTTCTTTATATACCCTAGAGAGTAGTGCTCTATCTGATGTGTGAGGGGTAAAAATTTGCTCCAAGGATGTAGGCTCTCTGTTCACCTCAAAGATTGTTTCTTTTTCTGAGAAGAAACTTTTTAGTTTGATTCCATCCCATTTATTGATTCTTGGTTTTAATTCTTGTACTATAGGAGTCTTATTAAGGAAGTTGGAGCCTAATCCCACATGATTAGGGCCTACATTTTCTTCTATTAGATGCAGAGCCTCTGGTTTAATTCCTAGGTCCTTGATCTACTTTGAGTTGAGTTTTGTGCATGGTGAGAGAAAGGAGTTTAATTACATTTTGTTCCATATGGATTTCTAGTTTCCCCAGCACCATTTGTTGAAGAGGCTGTCTTTTCTCCAATGCATGTTTTTGGCGCCTTTGTCTAATATAAGATAATTGTAATTTTGTGGGTTAGTCTCTGTGTCCTCTATTCTGTACCATTGGTCTACCACTCTGTTTTCGTGCCAATACCATGCTGTTTTTGTTACTACTGCTCTGTAATATAGTTTAAGGTCTGGTATAGTGATGCCACTTGTTTCACTCTTCCTACTAAGGATTAATTTAGCTATTATGGGTCTCTTATTTTTCCAGATGAATTTCACTACTGCTTTTTCTCTTTCTATGAGGAATACCATAGGGATTTTGATCAGAATTGCATTAAATCTATATAGTGCTTTTGGTAGTATGGTCATTTTGATAATATTAATTCTATCTATCCAAGAGCAAGGTAGATCTTTCCAGCTTCTAAGGTCTTCTTTGATTTCTTTCTTTAGGGTTCTGTAGTAGAAACACCTCATTTTAAGAATGTCAGAAGGTGCAAGTGGAAGGTCCCAAGGTGGTGGTGAGGAGCTGTAGGGTGGGAAGTAACATGAGGACAGAGAATGGCCTGCCAGGCCTAGTGGTGGTAGAGAGGTTCAGCGGCTAGAGGGCAAGCCAGAGAAGCTGATGCTCTGGCGTAGCACATGGGTGTGGCCAGGGGCCGCCAGGTCCTCTTTGGGGTTGTGAATGAAGGCTCACTCTAAGCCGTAGGGGAAGCAGCTCTGGAGGTAGAATTTGTGGCGAGTTCCATCTTTTACTTGGGATGGCGAGTAGTCTAGGGCAGCTCACCCAGGCCATGAGCAAAATGGCACTTCACCCCACAGCAGCAGGTATTTGTCCAACTATAACTAGAAAAAGTAAATATTTTTAAAAATGAATCAATAAATGGGATGGAATCAAACTGAAAAGTTTCTTCACAGCAAATAATCGATAACATGAAGAGAAAGCCTACAGAATTGGAGAAAATCTTTGCCACCTGCACCTCAGATAGAGCATTAATCTTCAGGACATATATAAAGAACTCAAAAAATACACACGCAAAAATAACTCAGTCAATAAATGGGCAAAGGAAATGAACAGGTACTTCACATAAGAAGAAATACAAATGGTCAACAAATATATAAAAATCTCTACCAATTAGATAAATGCAAAATAAACCATACTGAGATTCCATTTCACTCTAGTCAGAATGACAATTATCAAGAATACAACTAACGTAAGTGTTTTTGAGGATGTGGGGAAAAAGGTTCACTCGTACATTGCTGGTAGGACTGCAAATTGGCGCAACCACTATGGAAAGCAGTATGGAGAGTCCTCAGAAAACTTGGAATGAAACCACCTTTTGACCTAGTCTATACTCAAAGGACTTAAAATCAGTGTACTACAGTGATGCAGCTACATCAATGTTTATAGCAGCTCAATTCATGATAGCCAAACTATGGAACCAACCTAGGTATCCTTCAACAGATCAATGGCTAAATAAAGTGTGGTACATATACACAATGGAATATTATTCAGCCATAAGGAAGAATGAAAATATGGCATTTGCCAGTAAACGGAGTAAATGGAGACTATCATGTTAAGTGAAATAAGCCATTTCCCCAAAACAAAAGGCTGAATGTTCTCTCTGATGTATGGATACTAACACACAATAAGAGGGGTAGAAAAGAATAGAAGTTCATTGGATTAGACAAAGGGGAATGAAGGGAAGGGAGGGGGATGAGAATAAGAAAGTAGAATGAATCAGACATAACTTTTCTATGTTCATATATGAACACAGAACCAATGAAACTCCACGTCATGTACAACCACAAGAATGGGATGCTAATTTGAATAAGTTATACTTCATGTATGTGTGTCAAAATACACTCTACTGTCATGTATATCTAAAAAGAACAAATTTTAAAAATGAAAAAAGAACATGTCTTCTAAAGAATAGTTATCTGCAGAATATGATATTGCTTTGTTTCAAAATCATAATGGGGCTGGGCATGGTGGTGCATGCCTATAATCTCAGGGACTCAGGTAGCTGAGGCAGGAGGATTGCAATTTTGAGGCCAGCGTCAGAGACTTAGAGAGATCCCAAGCAACTTAGTTAGATCCTGTCTCAAGACAAAAAAATTTAAAAAGGACTGGGTATGTGGTTCAGTGGTTAAGTGCCCTTGGGTTCAATCCCTGCTACCAATTAAAAAAATGCTGATGGGGTGTACTGTGACTTACACTTAGGGATTTTACAAAGGCTCCATACATCATTTTTATCTGCCATAGATACATAAAGCACCACATAGTATGCTAGGTCATAAGGCTAAAGATATAGTGTGCATGATAGATCAAACCAATTTAAAAGTGTATTCCTGCCAGGCATGGTAGCACACTCCTGTAATCCTAGTGGCTCAGGAAGCTGAGGCAGGAAGATCACGGATTCAAAGCTAGCCTCAGCAATTTAGCAAGGCCCAAAGCAATTCAGCAAGACCCTGTCTCTAAATAAAATATTTAAAAGGGCCCTTGGATTCAATGTTAAGTGCCCTTGGATTCAATCCCTGGTACCAAAAAAATAATAAAAATAAAATAAAAGTGGACTCTTGTTCTGGACCACAGTAAAAATTAAAATTTGCAAATTTGTGTTATTCAGTAAGTGGAATGGAAAGCATGGTAAAATGAGGTTTATGGAACCTAACAGAGAGTGGTTTCTTAAAAGTATCATAGTTCTCTGTTGTAGATTCCATGGCCTTGCTCTAAAAATCTCAGAGATGCATCCTCATACTACATCTTTTCCCACCACTGACAGCTTGAACACCATAGGGCCATCCAGAACACATGATCTAAGAAATTACAGCCTGGGCATGCTACAGAGCATTTCCTACTCTAGGATCCACTCAAAGCTGGCAGCCTTCTGTGTCAACTGTTATATGGGCCTGAGAAGCATTTCTAGGAATATGTTACCTCTAGATCCCAATGCAGCTTACCTTAATTGTGGTAGTCTACAGTCATTCTCTAGGAACTAGCTGGTTTCTGAAGTGGCCAGAATAGTGAATTAAATATATAGGGACCACCATTCATTTTTTTTTCCTTTTGATATTTAATGGTGGCACTAATACCTGTCACCCCTAGGGTGAAATGTTGTTTTAATTTACACTCTTGGTTGGTGGGGGAAGGAGGAGGAAGATATTTCCATTGGTTCTCCCTACTATGAAAGATCTTACTGCACAGAATAAAGGACCCCAGGCAGAGAGGAATCCAACCTCCAAGTATGTAAATTTCAATTATGCACTTGGAGAATGGGGACATGATCACTGGGAAGGTTTGCAGATGCAATGGGCCACTATGAGTCAGATTTACACTGTATTCCATTTATTATCTGGACCCAATAGACCCCCTCTCTTACAAGAGGGCCACAATGATGCTTTGAGCATTTTATTATAGGTGCCAACTCAGAAAGCTGTGTCTAAAAGTTTCTGGGCATTCCATTTTCCCTAGTGTATAGTCACTCAAATAAATGTCATAGTTTCCTTTGGGGAAAAATGAGGGTAAGCATTATAAATGTATGCCTGCTACAATGTTGTATAATCCTTCCTTGAAGAACATGGGCAAATCTTGCTACAAATGGTTCTGGGTCTGAAGATTGGCTAGGATCTGGGAACTAAGTAAAGGACCCTCATTTTTAAAAGGAGGCAATTGCCCTAAGACTCCTGCTCTTTTAATCTTGACCTTTTCCAGTGGTAATATTAAACAGATATCCTACTGGATGCCCATCAATTTTATTTCCAGGGATGCCAGGCTTATCAGCAAAATTGACACAGGTGAAGGAAAATTAATGAGCTCGAGAGAAAGGGTTTAAGCTTTCAACATTTAATATGATATAGGCTGTGGCTTTTTCTAAATGTCCTTTAACAGACTAAGGAAGTTCCCTTTTATTCCCAGTTTACTGAAAGGGATTTTTTCCCCATGAATGTACATTAATTTTGCCAAATAATTTTCCTGTAACTATTGAAAAGATCATGTCTGTCTGTCTGTCTATCTATCTATCATTTATTTTGTAGTACTGGAGATTGAACCCAGGGTACTCTACCACTGGCCACACCCCCAGCCCTGATTTTTTTTTTTTTTTTTGTATTTTAAACAGAGGCTTACTATGTTGCTGAGGATGGCCTTGCACTTGCAATTCTCCTACCTCAGCCTCCTGGGTAGCTGGATTTACAGGCATGCGTCATCATGCCTGGCTTTTTTTCTTTATTCTACTGATGTATTTAATTAAGTTGAAATATAAATGTTAAAACAGTTTTACACTATTATAATGTAGCAACTCTGGAAATTAAATTCTCCCCTTAATTAAGGACTTGCTTTTTTTATAGTGGTTGTTTAGTAACTTTTCTAATTTTCTTTTGTACTAGGAATTGAACCCGGGAGTACTTTATCAGTGAACTACATCCCCAACCCTTTTTATTTTTAATTTTGAGACAAGGTCTCACTAAGTTGCTTAGAATCTTGCTAAGTTGCTGAGGCTGGCTTTGAATTTGCAATCCTCCTGCCTCAGCCTCCCAAATTGCTGGGATTACAGGCATGTGCCACTATGCTGGGCTTCTGAACTAATTTTTGATGTAGGTTTTCTTTGTTGTGTGCAGTTGCTGACATTTCTGTTCAGTTAGCCTAGCAGTGTTCTATTGGATAAAGATTTACTTAAATGCTTGAAACCAAAAATCTGTCTTTGCAGAGTGGCTCTGTGTTTTGGGGCACACCTTCACCATGTACCCAGGCAGTTTACAACTCTGTCCTAGGCTTGACATCCTGCTTGTGCAGAACTCCAAGGTCAGCAGAACCCCAAGGTCAGCCAAAAGTAAAAAATTAGTGCCTTCCAGAGCATGAACACTCCCCTGAGCATGTCCTTGGCATTCTAGTTTCCTGGCAATACTTAGGAGTTTTTGAAAATCTGTTTCCCAAAGTGTTTAATTCAGAAGGCTTTCTTCCCAAGCATTTTATCAGAATATTGTTTTCTTCAACTGTCATCTATTTCCTCAGGTAACAGGGAATAAAATATTTGCCTGTAAATATTTTAAACAAATGCTCTGCACTGTAGTAAGTGACTTTTGCATTTGGAAATTTCTGAAATAGGTAAAGATAAACTTTTGTAGTGAGTCTTCCATGAAGCCAGTAGACAGATTCTTAAGGATAATTCTTTACAAATGATGTCTATTTTGCTCCCTCTGTTATTGATACTGTGAATTCAGATTATCATTTTCTAAATGACTTCTGAGTCAGGGAGCATGGGATGGGACTATGGTAAGTTAAAATGTCACAAAGTTTGCTGTTTTTACTGAGATTCAGTTTTTTTTTCCTTGAATACATGCTTCTTCAGTTGCTACAAGCTATTTGTTTTATTCCTAGAATAAAAAAAAAGTTGCTAGTTTTGATACCAGATGCTCAGTCTATTCCCAAGGTCAACCCAATTACATGGACACGGTTTGGAGAAAAAGAAAAAAAAAGAAGTATTATTGCTTTGTTAGCAAAGGAAAAAAACAGGGGACTCCTTTCCCAGAGCCTGTAGTTCTAACTGCCAGAGGGAGACCGTGGACTTTTAAGGAGGAAATATAAAGGCTATGTCCTGTCAGGAATCATAATTCATTTTTATCCTTGAGATAGAGCCATTTCTTAGATTCACAGGTGCCAGCCCCAAAGTCTGGATTTCTTCATTCCTATGGTCAGTAACCAAAGGCCTAGGATTGGAAGGTTAATCTTGCTTCTCCCACGGTTAGGGACAGGGAGAGAGAGAAGAAAAAAATCATGTCAATTTTAAAATAAGCCACCACTGGTAGAGCAACCAGGGTTATATTCAAAGCATGAAGTGGACTCC